TAGTAGGGCTCACCAGGCAAGCTGGACCTACCTCTAGTGTCTGCTTGTTTGTTTAAATTCTCTGGCAGAGACATGCTGTCCCAGAGGGCGGGGAAACCCGTGTGGGGCTCACCCCCTGAGGGACAGCATTGTCCCTGTGGGTTTTGGCTGGGAATGTTTCTGAAGAAGCCCTAATCCCCTGCCCTACCTAGCCTCAGAATCTCTATCACCCCCAGAGAAGCACTGGGAGAACTGTGTGAGCCATCAGAATCCTCCAGACCTCACTTCCCCTGCCTATTCTTTATTCTTGTCCACGCTGCAGGCAAAATGCCGCTCTTCCCTCTATCCTCAAGCACCACCTCCTCCAGGAAGCCTTCCTCTACCCACAGCAATCACGTGGCCCCTTCAGAATTCCTATTTTCAGCTTACTGTTTGGTTCCTCTGGACAGAAAGCCCCTTCCATGTTGTTGCAGCCCCCAGGCCGAGCCAACGCAGGGCTAACGGGCTGAGTTTAATACTTGCTTATGGAATAAATGTCCCGTGCTACTTCCTGCAGAAAACCCTTCCTGAGGCTCAGCCCAGCCAGTTTGACGGCTCTGGCACCTTGGGCTTCTTTTAGGGCCACTTTCCCACCTCACCTTCCGGTGGAGCTAAATGCATACCTGTCCGTGGGCAGCAATGTTCCACGGCAGGCATTTTCAGTTGTGTCTTACAAATGAGGGGAACTGGGGGGTCAGAGAGGTTGAGTAACTTGCCCAAGGTCACTCAGCTAAAGAGCGGCAGACAGGAGTGTCACTTGTGTCCATTTGGATCCAAAGCCCCCGTGCTCTCCACTGCCCTGTATCTCCTATAGCATCAGCACCATGCCTGATGCCTGGTAGACCTCAGGAAAGATCCACGCTGCAACGAGGCTCACTTCCCAGGCAAGGCCCAAGTCTGAAGGGAGAATTCAGCTTTAGGACCTTAGCTGTCACCTCGTGCTACCCCTCTTCCCAGGAGAGGGCCTCCCTCCAAGACTGGGTGGGGGTGTGTGAGCAGGGGCAGCAATGGGCAGGACGGGGGGTCAGACTTTGAGGGGTAGCACAGACTGGGGGTGTCAGGAAGTGAGCATGTCTGGGGCTGTCAGGGAGAAGCAATCCAGGGAGACAGCCTGGCATTCGGGGATTAAACCGAGGTCTGTAAGGGACAGGCAGAGACTTGGCTGATAGGGACTAGGGGTGGCTCCCCCAGACAGTGACCCTGCCCTGCCCGGCTGCCCCTTCTCCTGCTTGCTCGCCATCCCTCTTCCCTCCCCTTTTCCTGACGGGCTTCTCTGGGGGAGTTAGCCTCTCAGGCTTTCTCTGCTCCAGTCTCATTACCAAGCAGCATCAATGCCTATCATTACCCCAAGTCACACCTCCAGATCCAGATGGGGACGGGAAGCTAGCACGAGGAAAAAGAGGCCCTTCTTCCTTGAGGGGGAGACCGGGGGTGCGTGTGTGTGTGTGGGGTGGGTGGGGAGAGACAGAGACAGAGAGAGGGAGAGATTGACCCGCAGCCAGAGACAGCGAATCGAGGGGAGCCAACCCAATTCTCTCTCCTTCAATTCAACAGGTTTGTGTCCCTGCCTTTCCAGTGGATCAGATCTGTGTCTGGCTAGGTGCCCAGGGAGTCAGGGGATGGCGTGAGGGAGGAGACCTTTCTTCCCATCACGGTGAAACCTCCTGGGGAAATGCTTAGACAACAGCAAGAATGAGCCACTCTCTCCTCACCCTCCTTCCCCACTTCAGAGGGGCTCTGTCCCTTCATTCGTGGGTTTGGAGGTTAACCGCCCACACTCACACAGGCAAGAGCTTCCCTGAACACCAGAGTGACAGGACGTCAGGACAAAGTACAATTACTGTGCCTTGGGTCTGATCACTACTTCCTTTGTCTGGGGCCACAGCTGGCTCCTGGCTACCTTTCACGCTCTTCTCTACCTCCACCCCCACCCTCTCCCCACATCCCCCTCACCTGGAACATCTTCCCCTTCCTCCTTGGCTCCTGCGGAACTGCTTCAGAGCCATAAGCTAAGGTGGCCCCAGTCCTGAGGCCTCTGAATGGGGCTGAGGATGCCCTTGGAGGGGACCCAGCATGATCTCTGTCTGGGCCGCTCTCTGCTCCATGCCCCACCCTCCTTGTTGCTAGGTGACCTCGGGTCCTTCTGTACGCTTGGGCTTCTTTGGGTGTTCAGTCTGTCCGGATGCTCCTTGCCCTGCAGCAGCCTGTGGAGGGAGGATGGTGGAATCAAGTTTGCCGGTGGGGATTAAGTCCGTGGGAGGAGAGGGTGCTAGAGAGACACGATGTGGTCTTATGATATTTGATTTGTGTTCCTGATTCCATGGGCTTTTTGTCCTCTTTCTGGAAGACCCAGGTGTGCTGGGCTCTCAGTTCGATGGTAATGTGGGCAGCGGCTGGGTGCTGTACATCAGGATAGTGTATTGTTGGGAAAGCTGGTGACACCACACTGGGGGATAGCATCCAGAGGCAACCCTCCTCGGAGTCACCACTGGCTTGTCTCTGAAATGAGGGGTAGGGGTGGGAGACCCCTCCCCACCCTAGAGAAGGGTGCTCCAAAGCCCCTCAGGCCAGGAAGCAATTCTGCTCCCTCATTCCCTTGGTTCTCTGGGCCAAGTGCACAGAGGGAGCCTCGATTAGGTAGCCGAGACACACCTTACTTAATACCACCAAGGGGGACATTTGGCTCAGGTTGGGGAAAGCCCTGGGGTTATTGTGACAAGTGACAGCCACTCCTCCTTGGAATCCCTCCATTCTCCTCTCAACTTCAGGGTATTTTACTAAGACCTCCTCTTCTGACCTCTTTAGGGCCAAGGAAGCCTGAGTTGAGGAGGCGTGCGGTGGAGGGGGCCAGCATGAGTGCCTGCTCATGCTGCTGGAAGCCTCGGTCCTGACTCTGCCTGCTCCAGGGCAGGGATGAGGGAGGGGGGCTCTGCCAAAGCACCCACATCTTGGGCTCTGGCGGTGCTAGATGTGGACCAGGTTGGAAGGAGGAACTTTAATCGCTTCCCTTCCGTATCCCATGCAGCAGCTTGGAGCATGGAGCCTAGGTAAGGAGGCTTGCCTGGGAGGGCCCTCCCTCCCCCCTGAGCCAGCAAATAAACATTTACTAACCCTTCTCCCTGCGGCTGGGGAGCTTGCCAGGTGGTGCAGGCAGGACTGGAGGCATGAATGATGCAAAGGGTAGGATGGGGTGGGGGTGGGCAGCCCCCCTGCTCATAGGAGCCTCAGGACAGTACTCCCGTGGAACTGGGCTGCTAAAGAGGTAACCTAGCACCCTCACTAAACCACAGTACCATGTGCCGAGGCAGGGGGTTGGCTGAGTAACCTCCCTGGATCGTTTGGGTCAATTTGGGGGAAGTTGCGGCATTCCCGCTCTCGGCCCAGACACTCACAGAGGCTACCTCAGCCCTGGGCCAGGCCCTGCCCAGATCTGGATGAAAAATGAGACTGGTTGGTCCCTCTCTTCCCTCAGGTATCAGAGCCCCCTCTTTGTTCCCTGGGGGAACCTGGGAGCTGCTGGGTCAAAGCCCAACCAGGAATTTTTCCAGGCTGGTTCCTATAGGCAAGGGTGGGCTGGGGAGGAGGGGGGGGGCGGCTCAGGGAGCACTTAGGAAAGACCAGGGGAGTTGGAGAAAAGGGGGCTTTGAAGGGAGCGGGTGTGGAGTGGGAGGACTGGGGGAAAGAGGAGAGAGGCTCCCAGTCAGTAGAAGTAGGCAAGAGATCCTAGGGGTCTGGGGTTCCTGAGGAGAAACCCCAATTCTGTTCAGAAGATGAGCTGAGAGACTGGGCTGGGGCTGATAGAAGCCTTGGCCCCCAGCCTGGTGGGAGCTCCGGGCAGCTGGCCTACAGACGTTCCTTAGTGTTGGTGAGTAGGTTTGAATCATCACTCAGGCCCTGGCCTCCATCCGCCCCCACCAGCCCCCTGGCCTCAGTTCCCTGGCAACATCTGGGGGGGGGGGAGCAGGAACAAGGGCTTCTGTCTGCCCAGCTGCCTCTCCCTTTGGGCTCTGCCAGACTCCACAGTGCATACGTGGGCTCCAACAGGTCCTCTTCCCTCTGGGCCACTGACTAACCCCAGAACCACACGGCTTCCCATTTTCGGCCCTACAAACCTGGTGCCAAATAATTTTCCCCAAGGAAGCTTCCCTGGACACTTCCCAAAGGACCCCAGTCACCCCAGTCCGTCGCTGTAGCTCACTCTGGTGTCAGCAGGCCCGACGGTCTCCAGATGGGCACACTGTCCACATGGATATGCCATGCCTCCTGTGCCCAGCATTGGGCTCTCTGCACGTGGGTCCATTCGAGTCCCAAACATGCCACTGTTTGGGAGGTCAGAAATGGGATCGGGGGAGCCTCCCTCCACCCTCTTCCTGAAGCCCATTCCCTCTTGAGCCAGAGCTGGGGTGTGCAGGCAGTAGTCACTAGGGGGCGCTCGGCCACCACAGGGAAGCTGGGTGAACTTGGAAGAGCAGCGTCTGCGTGAGAGTGAGGACGCGTGTGTCAGTGTGAGTGAGTGTGTGGGGGGGCGGGCTGAGAGTGCTGGAGTGGGGAGAAGGCCAGGGGTCACGCCAGGATTCCAATAGATCTGTATGTCCTTCTCCCCACACCCGTCCCTGTCCGACTCCCTGCCCGCCCAGACAACCCCCCTCCCTCCAATATTCCCAGTAAAGAAGGAATAGCTCTCGAGCCCTGACCGCACATAACCTCACTTTCCTGTACCCTTCCCCCCAATACCGCGCCGGCCGGGGGGGGGCCGGGCAAAAGGGGGGGGCGGATGGGCAATTTTCAGGCTGTGAACCTAGGTGGGGGTCGGGCTCCCCCTTCACTGGGGAGGGGGCAGGCTTTGCTACACGTCCCAGGGGAAGGCCCGAGGGGCGTGCGGGGCAGTCGGAGAGGCGCAGACACTGGGCCTGTCTCCGCCCCCAGGGCGTGCCAAAGGGCGGGGCCTACCTTATTTTAAGCGGCCGCTAGTGGTAAGGAGCGCAGAGGCTTGGGGCAGCCGGGCTGCGAGGAGGCCGCGGTGCAGGGGGCGAGTGGAACCGGCGGCAGCGGCGCTGGGTCGGGAGGCGCAGCGGCGAGGCGGACGAACCGGCGGGGTCACCAGCCAGGGGTCTCCGCACTGGAATTTGATATTCATTTATCCAGGGTTTACCCTCCTCCTTTTTTTCTTCAGCAATTTTAAAATCCACATTCTTTCTCGTTTTAATTTATTTTTGCTTCCCACTCCCCGCTTAAATCGGGCCGACTGTTTGGGGAGACTGCTCCTTTACTTCCCCAAATCACTTCGGATTTTGGAAACCAGCAGAGAGAAGAAAGAGGTAGCAAGAGCTCCAGAGAGAAGTCGAGGAAGAGAGACAGACGGGGTCAGAGCGCGCGCGGGCGAGCGAGCAACGACAGGGACAGGGGCAAAGTGAGTGACCTGCTTTTGGGGGTGACCGCCAGAGCGCGGCGCGAGCCCTCCCCCTCGGGATCCCGCATCGGACCGGCAGCGCTGACGGACAGACAGACAGACACCGCCCCCCGCCCCAGCTCCCACCTCCTCCCCGGCCGGCGGCCGAGGGTGGACGCGGCGGCGAGCCGCGGGCAAGAGCCGGAGCCCGCGCCTGGAGGCGGGGTGGAGGGGGTCGGGGCTCGCGGCGTTGCAGTGAAACTTTTCGTCCAACTTCTGGGTTGTTCCCGCTCCGGAGGAGCCGTGGTCCGCGCCGGGGCAGCCGAGCCGAGCGGAACCGGGAGAAGTGCTAGCTCGGGCCGGGAGGAGCCGCAGTCCGAGGAGGGGGAGGAGGAAGAAGAGAAGGAAGAGGAGAGGGGGCCGCGGTGGCGACTCGGCGCTCGGAAGCCGGGCTCATGGACGGGTGAGGCGGCTGTGTGCGCAGACAGTGCTCCAGCCGCGCGCGCGCCCCAGGCCCTGGCCCGGGCCTCCGCTCGGGGAGGAAGAGGAGACCGCCTAGGCGCCGAAGAGAGCGGGCCGCCCCGCAGCCCAAGCCGGAGAGGGAGCGCGAGCCGCGCCGGCTCCGGCCGGGCCTCCGAAACCATGAACTTTCTGCTCTCTTGGGTGCATTGGAGCCTTGCCTTGCTGCTCTACCTCCACCATGCCAAGGTAAGCGGCCGTGCCCACCAGGCGTCGCGGGCCGCTGCGAGCGCCTCTCCCGGCTGGGGACGTGCGTGCGAGCGCGCGCGTGGGGGCTCCGTACCCCACGCGGGTCCTTGGGCACCGGGCGCGCGGCTTCCCCCTCGATCCTTGTACATGTAGGGGGAGGGGGCGCGCGCTAGGTGGGAGGGCACCCGGATAGAATCTCACCGCCCACGCGGGCCCTGCCCACCCACCGGAGTCACCGCACGTACGATCTGGGCCGACCAGCGGAGGGCGGGAGCCGGAGGAGGAGGCCGAGGGGGTTGGGCTTGCGCTGCCGCGGGCGGCTGAAGTTTGCTCCTGGCCGCTGGTCCCAGACGAACTGGAAGTCCGGGCAGCGGGGGCGGGAGCCGGAGCCTAGTGGGCAGGGGGGGTGCCCGGACCTTGGACCGAGGGAGGGCAGAGAGCGTGGAGGGGGCAGGGCGCGGGCGAGAGAGAGGGGGCTTGCTGTCACTGCCGCTCGATCTCTTAGGCCCTCGCCACGAGTTTGAGAAAAGTTTCGGGGTGGATTGCCGAGGGGACCCCGGGTCTCCGCCGGGCCACCTGCGCGGAGGCACCCCCGCCCGTCCCCGCTCGCGTCCCGCTCGGTGCCCGCCCTCCCCCGCCCGGCCGGGCGCGCGCGGCGCGGAGCCGATTACATCAGCCCGGGCCTGGCCGGCCGCGTGTTCCCGGAGCCTCGGCGGCCCCGAGCGGGGAGCCCCGGGCGGCGAGCGGCGCCCCTCCCCCCGCCGGCCCTCCGCGGGAAGGTGACCTCTCGAGGTATCCCTACCCGGAGGACCCGGAGAACCACCCCACGCCTCTCCCCACTGTCCCCAGCCCCTAGCCTCTTCCTGTGCTAGGAGGGATTTCTTGACGCCCCTTCCCCATTTCTCCCTGATGTGGAGAGAAGCCCCTGCCACCTTTCTATTTTTTACTCCCCTCTGCTGAGAAGACCCGTGTAACCCCTCTCCGACCCCAGAGGCCAGGGAAAGGATGATGGCTGTCAGAGGTCAGGGTGCAGGGGCACACTCTGGTGCTTTGTCAGACTACCTAAAGTCCCCACTTGGTGACAGTCTGCTTTGCTCCCCTCCCCCACACTTCCGAGCTGTGCTTTAGTTTTTATGGGGGTGGGCTAAAGGAGGAATGAAAAGAGTCATTACTCCACTTTATACTTCTTGGAAAAATGGCTTAAAATTTGCTGTGACGTCTGCATTGTGGGACCAGCTCCCTCCACCCCCACCTTTGGAGGGAGCTCCTGCCAGCCTTGCAAACACACTTTGTCCTGGTGAAAAGGGGTGTTGGAGCAGGAGCAGGTGGTTTTTTGGAACTCTAAAACTTGCCCACCCAACTTGCTTCTCAAAGCCATCTAAGGGGCCCTTTACACTCTTCCCTTACACCTTCCCTCAGCCGCAGAGTCTCCCCTTGGAGAGAGGCAGAAGGAAAAAAATGGGCTGGGGTCCCTGCTGCCACTCTGGGTGCCTTAGACCCTGGCACAAAGGCCTTGGCTCCAGGCCTCCAAGGGGGGGGAGGGGGAGGAGTGGCCGCCTGGCCACAGCATGACCTTCAGAGGCCCCCAGAGAAGGGCACCTGGCCCCTCCCTGCCCAGAACAGCCCCTCCCAGAGCCCCCTGGCCTTGGAGGGGGTTAAATTTCTGTCCCCCTTCCTTGTTGGGGCCCAGGTGAAGTGGAGGGCATAGGGAGAACTTTGGCAGAAGGAAGCCCCGGGGGTATCATGGAGATGGGCCAGGGGCTAAGGTGGAGACCCTGGAGGGTCCCTGAGGTTGCTGCTGTGGGAGGCTGCCCAGCTGGGATCCTGGAAGCTGTTATCTGACCTTGGCCCTAGGGGCAAGGCTCGGGAATCCGGGGTGCATTGGGGGTGTGTGGGAAGGAGACAGACAGACAGACTTTGTCAGTGGGGTCTGCAGTTCCACAGCTCTGCTGCTTAGGATGTGCCCGCAAGGAAGGGCAGGTGGGGTGGGCAGCTGGTGAGAACCGAAGGCTGGGAGAAGCCTTTGCCTGCTCGGAGCTGTCAGGTCCACATGGTTGGGCATGTTGACCTTCACAGCTTCTGGGGAGGGGAGGAATGATCTGGTGGGGGTGGGGAGGGATGGCGAGGCCTAGGGGAGGCCTCAGGCCTGGGTAGTGCAGGGGGCCCCCTAGGGGCTGGGCAGTGCTAAGGCATAAAGGCTTTCCTGGTTGCACTTGAGGAAACGTGCCCAGCTAGGAGAGAGGGACTTGGGACCCCCCTCAGGCCGGGAGGGAGAAGAAACTAGCGAACAAGGTGCGAGTGTGAGGCTCTGGGCTTTGGAGATACATTCAGGCTCCCGGAGGATCGGTGTGCTGGGAGAAATGGGGCTCTCCCCTCCCCCCAGGGCTTCCTCCTTGGTTTTCCCTTCTAGGCAACCTGTGGGTTTGCTGAATATTCCCAGGAACAGAGGAGTTTGGAAGGGGGAGGGTGGTTGGCGCCCTTCGTTCCTCTGCACCCTCCTCCTTCCCCAGCACCAGCTCACCCTGGTATTTGTCATGTCAGCAGGAGAAGGTCACCATGTTGTTTTTCTCGCCCCCAGTCCTTCCTTCTTGCCCCAGTCCAAATTTGTCCTCCTATTTGACCTTACTACTTACCTGTGGCTTTGGACCAGGGAGTCGGGGGGCTGAGAAAATTCCCTGAACTCAGCAATGGGCCAGTGAGGGGCGGGGAGGGAAATGTGGGGAAGGGGCGGGGACCCAGACAGCACAGTGTTCTGGTATTTTCCTCCTGTGTTTTCAGTTCTCGCCGCCCCCCCCCCCCCCAATATCTGGTCATTCTTTCTCTTCCTTCACAATTGGAGCAGCACAGGGGCTGTGGGCATGCTCTCTGCTATGCGGAGCTGGGCAGGTGCCTTGTTCCACTCAGAAGCCTCGGAGAAGCCAGAGGCTGCCGGCTGGGCGGGTGGCTGGGCCTCTGCATCCCTGCTCATGCCTATGCCTTGCTCTTTGTTTTGTCCTCAGTGGTCTCAGGCTGCACCCATGGCAGAAGGAGAGCACAAACCCCACGAAGGTGAGTCTCTCTGGCCCTTGGATGGGTATCCTGTCTCCCCAGGGGATGGGTGGGGAGGCTCCGATTCCTTTCTTTCAGGTCTGTGGTGGGGGGGGAGCGGGGAAGGGGTGCAGGAATGGGGAATCAAGAAGGGAAGAGGGGAGCACTGTGAGACTCACCATTCTGGAGGTCTCTCTTTCCTACTCAGGCCTCTGCTAGAAATAGAACTTGTTGCTTTTTCCAGTAAAATTTTATTTGGAGAGGGAGCCATGAGTACAGGCCAGGAAAGACAGTGTTCAAAGATCCCAGTTGTCGAGGGAGGTGTCCCTTGTCCCACCTGCCCCCAGGGGAGGATGGATAGTCTGTGTCACATCCAGCCCAGCCTTGTCACCCCTGTGGGCTCTGTGTGGAGGGGGCTGTGCCCCTGGCTGTCCAGCGTACTGGCTGTGTGTGAGCTGGAGGTGCAGAGGGCCCAACCTCCTGAGACCCCCTCTCCACAGCCTGTATTCCTTTGGGGGTGGAGAGAAGGCCCAGCAGTCTCCCTCTGCCCTCCGGGTGGGAGAGGTTTGGGTGCTGTGAACTTCCCTCCTGGGCCAGCAGAGGGCTGGCGGTAGCTCCCAGGTGCCCCGCCCCCTGCCCAATTCAGAGTCAGCCTGCCTTTTGTTCCTCTGTGGTTTGGAGTAGGGATCCTCCCATTTCTCTAGGGAAGCCCTGCCTGCCCCCCCCACCCAATGTGGCCTCTACTCCAGCCTTGGGGAGGAGTGCCGGATGCCATTCCCCCAGCGCCCCACCTCTGAGTAAGGAAGGCCCTGGGGTCTTCCTCCAGATGAGTTTTCCAGACCTCAGCCCACTGTGGCCCAGGGTGGTGGCCAGGGGTGGTGTTTGCACTCCCTGGGCCAGTGGTGATGCCCAGCCGGTTCTGCCTCCCTCTTCACTCAGGAGCTCTTTCCTTGGCCCAGGGCCTGGCTTCCCAGCCACGCCACAGCCTATGCCGCTCAGAGGCTCCTGGGTCCCAGTGTGCACCCCACCCCCATCAGCCTCCCGGTGGTCTCTGTGGTCTGGGAGAGGCAAGACAAATGGTCTTTGTTTGCTGGGGACAAGATTGTCTTCAAGAAATAAGGAAAAGCAAGAAAGCTTGTTGTGGGAGTCAGTGTATGTCAGTGGCCTGGGCAAAAGCAGGCCAGCTTTCCTCGGGGGCAGTGGCTAGAGTATGAGGGGTATGGGTGAAGTTGCCCCCCTCGACCTCCCTCCTGTGGCCCTTGGGGATTCCAGGGAGCTTTTCCAAGGAATTCCTAGTCTGGGCCTTTATACCCTCAGCTACCAACTGCCAGTGGCCCAGACCAGACCTTCCTGCTTTCCTGTCCTGGTTGGGGCCTTGTGGCCCCAAAGCCTGGGCCACCTCTGTCCCCAACCATGACAAAGTGTCAGGTCAAGAATTCTTGACTAGTCATCTTCTTCGAGATAGACTTGGCTTAGAAAAGGGCTTCTTCAGCTCTCTGCTCTCATCTGTACTCTTTGACAGTGCTTTACCTTAACCCTTTTGAGGGTGGAGGAGAATTCTATGCCTGTTGTCTGCATAGGGGAAGTAGATCTCAGACAAGGCCAAGGACTGGTTGGGAGCCCCCACTGCTCCCTTGCTGTTTTCACACCTATGGCCTTCCCCTCCCTTCCTCTCAGCTCCCCAAATCCTCCTCAACCCACTTAGTGTATAGATACCCTCAGGCTCATCTTCCTTTACCCTCCGGAGGGAAGAGGAGGCTCAGCCACAGTCTCTGGGGAGAGGCAGGCTAGAGGGTTGCACTTCAGACACCTGGGTGAGGTTCCAAACCTTGTGTTACCTGGGCTGAGAAAGAGCGCTTGTTTGGGGGCTGGAAACGGGAGACAAAAACCCCACATTTCAGTCTCAGTTTCAGTGTCTTTAGAAATCCGCCCAACCACTTATACAGGTGTGCAATCTGAGGCCCAGAGAGGGGAGGGACTGGCCCAAGGTCACACCAAGTCATGAACAGAACCCGGACCTCTTCATGGGCTGGATGCCACTTTTTCCTCCTGTGAGGGGGAGTGACATTTCAGGGAGAGCATTACTTTGTGGTAGTGGGGTGTGTTTGTGTGAGATGGAGAGTGGCAGGCTGGGCCACAATTTGGAGTCATCGTTCCAGGTCCTGAGTGTGTCTGTTCTCAAGGGCCCCGCCCCTGTGGCCTAGAATTACCCCTTCATGCTCCAGTGCACCTTGAGCTCCACGGCCAGCCTGGGAAGCCGTCTTTACCCTGCTCTCCCTCCAGATCAGCTTCTAGAAATGCTCTGTGGCTGCGGTGGCGGCACCGTTTTTTCCATGATGCAAGCAGTTTGCCCTCTTGGGCGGGGTTATCGGTGGCTGGCAGGGCCTGCATAGTGTGCCCACCCACTGCCACCTGCTGATTCTAGGCAGGCCTGGCCCCTGTGCTGATGTTCACCACCTCCCCAGCCCATGTCTGGGGAGGGGTCTGGCAGCTGGCAAAGTGCCCCCCTCCCCACATGCTTCTACATGATTTGCCTTGGGAAGGCTTTGATGTCAGAGCTGATTGGAAGTGTGGGTCCGGGGCAAGTTCCTCAGCCTCTCTGAACCTCCAGTTCCCGCTTTGTAAAATGGGGTTCCTAGTGGAACCTCATAGTGTCATGTGGGGAGAACTATTGGCCATGGAAACCATGGATGATGGTGCACAATGCCCAGCATATAATAAGTCCTCATCCAATGGTTGTTGGTATGGTGGATGGTGTGACAGAGATTGTAGGGAAATGCGGAGTAGGTTTGCCAAGCTGGCTCTTCCTCCTTTCATGGGAAACTTAGATCACCCCCCCCCGCCCCCCGCCGACAAGTATACTCATCCTCAAACTGTGCCCTGGTATCAAGGTTGACCCAGGAGTTGGCTCAGCAGTCATGGCGAGGTGGTGGGGTCAGATGTAGCAGACCATCTCCCTCAGAACCCAACAGCCTCGTGTGATCTTTGGAATAAAACCAGACCTTCCATCAGTGCCCATGGTGGAAAGCTTAGGGAAGGGTGTCAGCCACAGCTGGAGGGATTTAAGCTAGAGTTTGGGAAGGATTGGCCCAGTAAGGGGTACCTCTCACAGGAACCCTGAGGGGTTGCCCTATAAAGCTCGGTGGAGATGGGGGCCGGCCATCTCTTGTGTGACCGGCTGGGCTCACGTGTCACTCTATCCCATGCAGTGGTGAAGTTCATGGACGTGTACCAGCGCAGCTACTGCCGCCCCATTGAGACCCTGGTGGACATCTTCCAGGAGTATCCTGACGAGATTGAGTACATCTTCAAGCCATCCTGCGTGCCCCTGATGCGGTGTGGGGGCTGTTGTAATGACGAGGGCCTGGAGTGCGTGCCCACCGAGGAGTTCAACATCACCATGCAGGTGGGCATCTGCGGGGAGTGGGGGGTGGGGGGGCGGGAGCGGGATTAGACTTTGGGAACAGGTGCTCCTCCGCCCTTTCCTGGGCAACTCTCGAGAGGAAAAGCCAGACTTCCCTTGCTCAGCTCCTGCCCCTGAGTCAGTCAGGAGGCAGTGTGGGGAGTCTTACCCCCTTTGGAGAAAAAGATGCCCTGCATTTCCTGGTCTGGGATTCCCCGCAAGTGCCTACTGCCTCCTCCTCCTCCTCCCTGACCTTTGCCCCTGGGCTCAGGAGGGGCTAACACCTGTGACAGGAGCCCCTCTCTTCCTCTCTTGGAGGAGGAGGGCCCTTCCTCCTGGGGGGCTCTGTTCGGGGTGCTGGACGAGCCTGGTGCATGGAGAGTGTTAGAAGGTAGTCGTTTGGTGCTGCCTGGTGACAGGGCACATCTCAGCCTGGACAGGGTGGGAGGGAGCTCTGAGACCCTAGGGAAGGTGGCTCTTGGGTAGCGACTAGGGGTCGAGGTGAGGCCTAGAGGGCATAACAGGAGGGGAAGGATGGGCACAGGCAAGAACCCAGGACCTGAATTCCCAGCCTGGCCAACCCGTGCAGCCACGCCTGCCCTCAAGAAGAGCCAGGGGCTCCTTGAGGTCAGTAGGGTCGGGGGAGTTGGGGTGGGCCTGAGGCTCTTTCTGGTAGAGCCCCTGGTCCCTCCTCCCTCTACCCCCCACCCCTGCTCTGTAGAACCCCTGGGTGCTGAGTGGCAAGAGCCACGGGATGTCCCATCTGGGTATGGCTGGCTGGGTCACTAACTTCTGTGATCTGCTTCCTTTCCCTCTAGATTATGCGGATCAAACCTCATCAAGGCCAGCACATAGGGGAGATGAGCTTCCTACAGCATAGCAAATGTGAATGCAGGTGAGGACGCAGTCACGGATTCGGATTCGTTTGTTCAGATGGCGGGAGGGTTAAGCATGTTTCACTTGTTAGCCATTTCTACCTTGCAGGTGTGGCACCTTGGGCATTTTCATTTTACTTCTCTGTGCCTCAGTTTCTATGTCTGTCAAATGGGCACAATAATAGGATGTCTCTCATGGCATTGTTAGGTTTAAGTGAGTTCTTTTACGTAAAGGGATTAAAACTGCATTGATATGTCATAAATAGTACGTTACTGCTCTCGTTGTTAGCATCACCAACTGAACCCCTCTCTGTTTTGTTCTTTTCTCTTTCTCTGCCCGCTGCAGACCAAAGAAAGATAGAGCAAGGCAAGAAAAGTAAGTGGCCATGACTTTAGCTCCTCTCCCTCTCCTTGGCCGGTTATCTTGGTTTGGGGCTCTTGGCTTCCTCTGTCAGGGGGGTCTCATGGCTTCACCGAGTCCGGGAGTTGGCCTCACGAAGACTTGTGGTGGCAGTAGGGGGTTGGAGCAAACCCGAGGATTCTGGCTCTAGGATTAGGGCAGAACCCCAGCCTGGAGCCTGGAGCTTCTGTGGAAGGAGACCACACATTCCAGGTCTCCAGGTCATTCCTGGCCGGGACCTGCAGTTTTGGTGTGTGGGGTGCGTGTGGACAGCAGCTCCCCGGCTTGCTCTAGTCTCCTGTCCCCCCAGAGCAGGGAGAGGGAGGGGGTGGTAGAGAGGCCAGCTTTTGTGTGTCAGAGGAAACGGTCTCTCACCATGGTTGCTGTGGTGGTGCGATTGGACTTGGGGGCCGGCTGAGAGATTTTCTTGGTGATGCCCTCCTGTAGGAGTGAGGCGGGCCTGAGCCACTCAGCCCTCCCTGGCCAGGGAGAAATGAGTTGACTGTTGGTCATTTTCTGAGGCTTCTAGTTGCTCCGTGTGGAGTCTTGGGTCAGGATGGAGCAGGGGGCAGAGTCTGGGGGCAGTGAGCCTTCAAGACCCGGTGAGCAAAGGGGACAAGCCTGCAGGGAAAGAGAATGAGAGAGAGCACCTGTGTCCTTCCCTCCCCTCCCCTCCCTCACCATCCCGTCTGCCCCCAAAGTTCTGGGGACCCAGAAGCTCCGAGACCTCAACTCCTTGCCTCTTGCCTAAGTCCCCAACTTCCAGGACTGCTGTGGCTCCCAGAGCAGTGGTTTGGGAGAGTAGTCTCAGAGAGAGAGAGAGAGAGAGAGAGAGAGTGTGTATTTATGTGTAGACCTTCCTCCTTCCCAGTGCTTTCTCCTAGGGGAGCAGTCTTGCCCCCCTCCCCAGTCCCGTCCCCTCATTTCTTCTCCTGTAGCAGACGTTCTGGGCATCCTCTGGCCTGGCAGGTGTGGAGAGTGCTGGTTCCCTTGAGGGGAACAGGCTTCAGCCTGCCCCCCCTTGCCCGTTTCCCAAATGTCTGCATTGCCCACAGGGAGAGCGGGGGGCTCGCCTGGGCTCGGAAGAGAGTCTGGTGAGATGGTGTAGCAGGCTTTGACAGGCTGGGGAGAGAACCTCCTGCCAAGTAACGCCCAGGCCCCTCCTCCCATGCCTCCCTAACTCCCACCCCACCCTACCGCCTGCCTGGGGCTCTGAGGACACCCGTCCCTGCCTCTCGGCCCAGGTTATGGCTGGGCAGGCTGGCGCCTTTCATGTGCCGCCCCTGGGTCTGTGCCAGCTCCCAGTGTAGCTGCTCTCCCACACCGGGATCTGCAGAGGCAGGGCCCCTGAGGACCCCTTTGCTCTTGCACTTGGAAATGAAGGTGGAAGGTGCCCGAAGCACAGCCTGGGCCCCGACCCCCACCCCCATCAAGTCAGGTCTCTCCAAACTGTGGCCTACCTTTTATAGCCCCCCTCCCCTGACCTTCAGGGTCAGACTTGTCCAGGGTTGCTGCCCACAGGGCTTTGCTCCCTGCCTGGGACCAGGAGCTGCCACGAGCACTCAGGCCTTTGGGTCCTGTGTCCTGCACCCAGCCTCTGCTCCCCACGCAGAGCATTCCCGGAGGCCAGGTTGGCCACCCCAGGGTGGCCGAAGGGAGAAGGAGGAGCCATTGAGCTCCTGCTGCCCCAGCCTTGCTGTGCGTGTGCGTGTGCATGTGCATGGGCAGGCCCTTTCCCGGAGCCCGCTGGCCTTCCGATGCTCGTTCCAGGGAGTTTGTCCTGAACCCTGCCCTCCTCGTTGCTTCTTTTCTTTTCCCCTTCCCCCTTGCTCTCTCTTTGTCTGTCTCTGTTTTTTTATTTTCCAGAAAATCAATTCGAGGAAAGGGAAAGGGGCAAAAAAGAAAGCGCAAGAAAGCCCGGTATAAACCCTGGAGCGTGTACGTGGTGCCTCCGCTGTCTCATTGCCTGGAGCCTCCCCGGCCCCCAGTCAGACCCCCGCCGGCGGGACCCCCTAACACTGCCCCTCCCGGCGCCCACCCCCGGCTCTCCCCCCCCTCCCCCCCCAGTGTCTCTCTCTCACTCTCACTCCACTAATTGGCACCAGCGGCTAGATGCGGTGGTGGCGTGGCCGGTCCAGGCTTGGGCTGGCCGGGTGGGCAGAGCGGGCCTGGAGGATTCGGGGAGGGGACTCCGGCTTGGCTGGGCACCGCCTTTCCCTCACCCCCTGGGCACTGGTGGCGGGCCCATCTGGCGCGGGTGCCAGGCACTGGTGCCTGCTCACCCGACTGGTTTCCACTGCTCTGGGCTTCTGCACTTGTCTGGAAGCTGAGGGCGGGGGGGCGGGCAGACGTGGCGCGAGGAAGGGGCCAAGGGACGCGCGGCAGCCTGTTGTCAGCTGCAGGAGGTGGCCGGGTGGGGTCAGGCGCCGTATGGCAGCCCCTTCTCGTGGACCCCAGGGCCTCCGGAGGGGAGCCCTCTACTCTAGTCCGACGCACGGCACCCACAGAAACCTCCCTGTAGGTTTGGAGGCTCTTCCTCTGGGTTGGAGGCTGTGGTGGGCACTTTGGCCACCAGTGGCCTGGCTGTGGACGCTGCCTCTGGGCTTGGCCTGCTGTGGTGCCCTCCTTCAGCCTGCCTTTGGTGGAGGGGCCCGGGCCTGAGCAGTGGCCCGGATCGTTGTCCCCAGCAGGTGAAGTGTCAAGGTGTGCTCTTTCGGGGGCGGTAGCCGTTGAGGCCCTGTGGCCCAAGACTTGAATTTGTCCCTACGGGACAGCACTCCCCCCTTACAGTGTCCTCTCCTTGCACTCTCTGCCCACCTGTGTCTGCCTCTTCCTGCAGGCAGGCTTCCTAGCCAGTGCTGCCTCTTTCCGCCGCTCTGTCTGTCTTCCGCTGCAGCACTCGGATCCTTCCAGGGCTTGGAAGGGGCAGGGGGGCCGATGAGCTGGGTGGGGGTGCAGCTGCGGACTGTTAGGGGGTGTTGCATGGTTTTTTTTTGTTTTTTTTTTTTCCTCTTTCTCTGCTGACGCTCTAGCTTAGATGTCTTTCCTTTTGCCTTTTTGCAGTCCCTGTGGGCCTTGCTCAGAGCGGAGAAAGCATTTGTTTGTACAAGATCCGCAGACGTGTAAATGTTCCTGCAAAAACACAGACTCGCGTTGCAAGGCGAGGCAGCTTGAGTTAAACGAACGTACTTGCAGGTTGGTTCCCAGAGGGCGAGCGAGTCAGAGAGGGGCTTCACACAGAGATGGGGAGAGAGAGAGAGAGAGAGAGAGAGAGAGAGCTTGCGCGCACGCGCACCCGAGAGGGGCCAGCTGCTTGCTCGGCTTCTAGCTGCCTGCCTGGTGACTGACCGCCGCCTTCTCTGCTTGCGGGGCCCCTGTGGTGGGATGCAGGCGCTGGCCTGGCCTGCTGGGGCCTGTTCCGAGGTTGCCCTGGTTGCCTGAGGGGGTAGCCTGGTGTGGCTTCGGGTGACGGTGTGGACGCAGGCTGAGTGTCGTGTCCTGTGGTCCCGCGGTGTCCTGTGGTGGCTGTTGGTCCTGATGTTGTTATTACTACTATTGCTACTAATACAGAGGGCCCTTCTTGGTGGGGGGGGTGCTGCCGTCTCCAAAGCTCAAATGCTCTTGGGGGCCTTGCCATCACCCTGTGAAGTCTGCACCGCTGGGCTTCTCATCCCTTCAGTGTCCCTCACGGGGGCAGGGGGCGAGTCCCTCTGAGACTGGAGTCCCCGAGGGCACGGGCTCCTGCTGTTGGTTTGGGGTGGGTTGGAGATTTAACGTTTGGGGGACACTGGATACCTTTAATACTCCAGTTACTCATGGTGACAACCCCAAACAGCCCACATATTTCCAAATGCCTCTAGGATGGGGGGGTCGGGAACTCCTCACAGGAGGGCCTGGCTTTTATTCACCTGGGTGACCCTCCAGGCATCTGTACCTCTGTCCTCTGACCACAGTGGGGACCTAGAAAGTGTCAAGTATGTAAGCGAATACATGACTGAGTTCAGGGGGTAAGGTCAGGAGCACAGAGCCGTGACAGGTTGGCTGGCAATCTTTCGATGCCTTCGGTGGTGTTTATACCAGTCTGGCCTTTGCTCAAAGGCCGGGAGCCCTCTGGGCCAGCCTGAGTTTCACCCAGGGAGGGGGGCTTATATGCCAGGATTCCCTGGCAGGGTCAGGGTACCCACAGCTAGTCCAGATGCTCCATTAACAAAGTCCTTGGAATGTGGCTGCCTTCCCCACCCCCGTGTTCTTGTGGCTGTGGACGTTCGAGGGATGCTGGGGACCAGGCCCCGGGGTGTTGGTGCAGGCTTCTCTCTGTCTCAGTGGTATGTGAGGACAGGAAGTGTATGTGAGTGCTGGGCTTGGGGCTCTGCCTAACTCCAGGGCCCAGTGAGGGGTCTCCACATGCCCCGGGGGCTTCAGGGAAGGTGAGGGCCTTATCATTTTCACGATTTCTGTGGGGATTATTCTGCAGAGAGACGGTCTGGGATGGGGTGTGTGAAGTCACCTGGGGGCTAACAGAAGTTACCCCAGCCTCCAGAGACCTCCCCCTGTGTGGGGGAGTTTCAGGACCCCAAACTGGGGGCTTAGGATGCCCATTGGCAGGCTCTCAGAAGGGCGGGGCCTGCTCTGACCTCTCATAGTAGAGAAGGGAAAAGGCAATAAGTCCCAGGGGCAGGGGCATGACACGAAAGCTCTTGGTGTCCCCTCTGCTTGGACAGGAGCCGCGCAGCGAACGATCACCTCTCCCCACCCAGCAGCCTGGTGCCGGGGGCCCGCTGCGGCCAGCATGCTGAAGAAACGAGGCCTGGAGGGAGGGCATGGTGAAGGGAGATGGGTCCCTCACGGCCTCGCCGGAGCAGCCCCTCCCTTTCAGCTGGCCCTAGCCCTGGGTCAGGGTGCTCTCCCCACTCTCTTCCGCAAGCCAGCCCCATAGAGGCAGAGCTGAAGCTCCTCTCTCTGCGGGCACTCTTTGCTGACTAACTCGGTCCGCCTCTGGTCACCATCAGCTCTTAAATGCCAAGTAGGGACTGTTCTTGAGTATGTGTTCATTTGTCGCCTCTGATGGCATGTCCCCATGTCCTTGTCTTGTCTCAACTAGATTGTAAGCTCTAGAGGGCAGAGGGGAGCCCTGGACTCAGCTCCTGCTCTGGCCGGGTTGGGGCGGGGGGGGCTCCTACCCGTGGGCAGGGGCTGGCTCTCCCCTCACGCTGGGCTCCTCGAGGCAGCGCCGTGCTTTTGCCATCCTCTCTGCCGCAGGGACTCGGGGCTCCCGGGAAGGGAAGGCTGCCTGCCTCGCTACCACGTCCCCGCGCCCGGCCCTAACCCCCGGCCTGTTTCCCATCTGCCGCAGATGTGACAAGCCCAGGCGGTGAGCCGGGCTGGAAGAAGGAGCCTCCCTCAGGGTTTCGGGAACCAGACCTCTCACCAGGAAAGCCTGATTCAGAACGCTACAGAAACCACGCCGCCGCCACCACCACCACACCAACCGTCGCCATCACCAGAACAATCCTTAATCCAGAAACCTGAAATGAAGGAAGAGGAGACTCTGCGCAGAGCACTTTGGGTCCGGAGGGCGCGACTCCGGCAGAAGCATTCCCGGGCAGGTGACCAAGCACGGTCCCTCTTGGAATTGGATCGCCATTTTATTTTTCTTGCTGCTAAATCACCGAGCCCGGAAGATTAGAGAGTTTTATTTCTGGGATTCCTGTAGACACACGCACCCACATACGTACATTTA